CGACTGAAGGACCAGCTGCTTTTTCACATCCCCCAGCTGCAAGCTCATCACCAAGGAAGAGATATCCTACTGACCTTTGAGAAGGATGTTGGCTCAATCCTGGCACAAGCAAGCAAATACGGTGACGCGATCCATCTGGCCAAGGTTGCTGGAATGATACAACAGGACATGCTTCAGCACAAGTCACACTTCAGCAGTACATTTCATGAAGGATGCATTGAACAGGCTGTTCCACAATCACTGCTTCAATTTGTATGCATGATCGATCATGGTGCAGATATCAAATCCCAACTCCAGCATGGCGCATCGAAGTCTGACCTTGCAATGTCACAGCTCTTACAGTACAACTGCTTTGCCAACTACAAAAACAAGACAGAACTATTCCATTTTCTCGCGGAGAAAATGTGTGAAGCACAGACGACAAGCACGGTGGTTGTGACAAAGGGAGAAGATGCCATTAGCAACACAGAGAAGTCCCTAGAAGCTGTGGCTCCATGCTGTCATGAGGAAGCAGACAAACGAATATTTGTGCATGCTAGGGGTGCAGCAATGGAAGGTAGCAAGTCCCTCATCATCAAAGCCAATGACACTGACGTGGTCGTCATAGCAGTATCTGTACTGCCATCACTACAGGAGCTTGGTCTTGATAACATGTGGATTGTCTTTGGCCAAGGAGCCAGTCATCGATGGATTCCAGTTCATGATGTAGCTTCTGCTATAGGGCCTAAGAAAGCTAGTGGGATCCTATACTTTCATGCTTTCACTGGCTGTGACGTTGTGCCTGGCTTCCATGGGAAAGGAAAGAAATCTGCATGGCAGACATGGAATGTCTGTGATGAAGTTTCAGAAACATTCACCAAACTCAGCCATGTCCAACAACAGTTGCTGATGTTGACCTGCAGAAGCTGGAAAGATTTGTTGTCCTCATGTACGACAGATCTAGTGCAGCCACTGGTGTAGATGAGGCAAGACTAAATCTCTTTTCCCTCAAGCAGAGACCATATGACTCCATTCCACCAACCCAAGCAGCCCTCAAGGAACATGCAAAGCAGGCTGCCTACCAGGCCGGTATCATCTGGGGCCAGGCAACAATCTCCAATCCAGAAACCAGTAGTCCTGTCAACTGAGGATGGACACAGAAGGGAGAGGCATGGCAGACACGTTGGACGACTCTTCCCCCGATTGCAACGTGCTGTCAGGAGCTGACCAAATGTTCCTGTAAGAAAGACTGCAACCAGAGATGCAAATGCTTTCGCTCTGGACTTTCCTGCACAGCACTTTGCAGCTGCATTTGTGAACAGCAGTAAATGCACAAGATGTACTGTCAGGAGAAGTCACAGGAACCAGTGCTAATAGTGAGTACTTTTTTATTTTAATAATTTTTTTTTTACTAAAAGTGTTATTTTGTGTGGATAAAAATGTTACAGTGGACTTAAAACTATACAAAATCATCTGAGCATGCTTGAAAACATACATATCGACACCAAGATCACTCAGATTGACCAACTACATCAATTTCTATAAGAAAAATCAACTTTTGAAGGTCAATCTTGGAGTTTTAAATGGCCAATTAGGCAGACTTGATTAGTAACCATTAGAAAATTACCATGCCAAATTTGGTGCTTGTATCACCATTTGCATGATTCTCTTGAAAAATTGCATTTAGCTGCCCCACTATCGCACTCTGTGGTCGAGGTGGAGGGAGGCACTGATTCGCGTTTTGGCAGCTGTGGGCTTATCTGATCTACAGATTTTGGAGGAGTCCGGCTGTCACCTGCTTTACTCGTACTGCCAGGGGTGGTAGTTCAGTTTCCATTTGCCAATTGCAAATTCTGGTCCACATGGGCGCTCCGAGCTTAATCTTGAGAGCATTATTTTGGGTGGTAGTTCAGTTTCCATTTGCCAATTGCAAATTCTGGTCCACATGGGCGCTCTGAGCTTGATCTTGAGAGCATTATTTTGGATAACTTCTAGCTTAGCTATCTGGTCTTCTCTCAGTCCAATGAGTGCTGGAGCAATGTAATCTACAGTACCAACGATCTGATGGCGGCCGTGTAGTAGGCGTTGAGCATGTGTATGTTCGCTCTTGCGGTTGTGCTGATGAGTGACCTAATTATGTTGTGTCTGCTCTTCGTCCTGTGCCTGAGATACTCGAGTTGCGGCTTGAAAGTGAGTTTTTTGTCGAACCAGATTCCAAGACACTGGTGGGTGTTGGTCCAGACTACCGGCGTGTTTCGTATGGATTGATTTTGATTTTGATTTTGCCGCTTACAGAGGCTACTTTATTGTGCACCCCACACTCATCCTGTGAGCGGTAGCGCAAAAGGATTACAGAGTAGGGTTTACAACGGGTCATAATAATTAACCCCCGTTGTCAGGATATTATGGCACTGAATGTTACACAGTATTTCATTTACATTATTTGTTTAGTTCTATACATAAAGGGTAACTTATTCACAAATGCGTGAGTACAGGCGTGTGAGGCAGTATGTCTGGCCCCACACTTTGTTATTCACATTTACGTGAGAGGTATTCAAGCACATTGCGTATTTGGTTCTGTACATGAGAATTGATATAGTTACTAAGTGCAAAAAAGTGGATACAATCTTAATATGTCGGCTATCTTGCCATTAGAGATGAAGTGTTGTGCCATTTCACACACAGTGTGCTTGGACCTGTCCCTAAAAGGTTCTATCTTCACACAGTCGAGGACGTAGTGTTCAAGTGTGTGGCCATATGTCTGGCCACACACTTTACATTTAGTTTTGTTTACATATGCTTGAGGAACATACTGCCAAAGGTACTTATATCCTAACCTTAATCTAGCGGTTACAACATCTTGTAATCTAGTGATCTTGTTACTTGCTCCATATACATGTTTCACTTGATACATCTCATCATGGTAACCTATGGATCGACTAGTGCCTGTTTGCACTTGTCTACTTGCGTCAAACTCATCAATAAGTTCTTTCCTAATTACAGTTTTAAGGGCTCTTTTTGACAGACCCAAATTGCATTCAACGGTGTTTTTGTTAGACGCGAGTTTGGCGAGGGCATCAACTCTCTCATGTTTTATGAGGCCTATGTGAGAGGGGATCCACAACAGTTTGACCTTGACACCCCGGTCAACTAGGCACGCATATTTGTGTCTGGCTTCAGAGACAAGAGCGTGACAACCTGAGTCGAGGGTACCAAGGGCAAGTAGTGAGGATAGAGAGTCAGTGATGATGAGACTGTCAGTAACAGTGGTTTCAATGAATTTAATAGCTGTGAGTATGGCAACTAATTTAGTTTGTAGAGTGGATGCCCAGCTGTTAATTCTAACTCCTTTCTCAATTATATTACCTTCAGGTTGAGTCACAACAATAGCACTTCCAGCCCTCCCACAGGCGGTGTTAAGAGATCCATCGGTGCAGATGGTCTGTGTGATATTATCATCAGTCTGTAGAGTGTGTATGTGTTCAAGAGCTCTCTGAGAGCATCATGTCTGGTGTGTCTGTGCAGATGACCATCACTTTCGACTTGGCTGGATTTATCTTGAGTCCAAGTCTGTTGCACTCCTCTTCTATAAGTTGGAGTGCATGTAGCGTGTTGACTAGTCTGTTTGCTTCTCTTACTATGAGCTGAAAGTCGTCTGCATAGTAGAGGAGCTTGGCTGTTTGTCTGAAAGGTAGTCTGACTAGATTTTCCATCAGTACATTGAACAGAGTTGGACTGAGGATGCCTTCTGAAAGCGTACTCCTGCTTCTCTCTGTGCGAGTTAGTTCTGGATCCACCCCAGCAACCTTCCTTTGACACCTTTTTCGGCGAGCCCCGTTATAATGGCCAGTGGATTTGCTAGTTCGAAGGCCTTCTACAAGTCGAGGAAGACCACCAAAGCTGATTTATTGTCCACTGTGCTGAGTATCTCGGCACATATCAGGATAGGTTAAAGAAACTTAACTTGCATTCCCTAGAAAGACGAAGAGTGCGGGGAGATATGATAGAAGTATTTAAGTGGGTGAAAGGAATCAATAAAGGGGATATAGATAAAGTTCTTATAATATCTGAGCAGGATAGGACTCGGAGCAACGGATTCAAGTTGGATAAGTTTAGGTTTAGGAGGGAGATAGGAAGAAACTGGTTCACAAATAGGGTGGTGGACGAGTGGAACAAGCTTAGCAACTTTGTAGTAAGTGCTGGAACTCTGGAAAGTTTCAAAAGGAGGCTAGATAGATTCATGGATGATATAGAGTGGTAGTAACTCTCGACAGGAGCTGCCGTGCACAGGCCAACTGGCCTATTGCAGACTCCTTATTTTCTTATGTTCTTAAGACATCTTCAGAGGCAACTGTTACCTCTGAAGATGTCTTGAATAAAGACGAAAGCTAAGGTGCTCCGTTGTTTCCCTCTTCCCGTGTGACTTTATCAAGATTTATTTTATCCACGTTTTCATTGTGGATCTACATGAAATATATATATATATATATATATATATATATATATATATATATATATATATATATATATATATATATATATAATAAAGGGGCCATAAATATATATAAAAAATCAATAGTGAGAAACGATATACTATATGTATGTTACAATTGTGTGTAAATGAGGCAGAAAGACAGATCAACATCCTGGGACTTGGTCATATTTTTTGTGATGCCATATGGCAGCGGGTCTACTATTAGAGAACTCTCGACAGGAGCTGCCATGCACAGGCCAACGGCCTATTGCAGACTCCTTATTTTTTTATGTTCTTATTATGCTTCCAATTTCTTCCTAGGCGGAAGTACCTCCCTGTTTGATTGGTGCCTACTAACAATATATCGTACCTGTTTTCAAACAATTTCTATTGGTGAATTAACTTAGAGCTTAATAGTTTCTATAAATAAATATACATAATTTGATTGAAACTTCTATAAAATGACTTTATTTCAAGTACGTTTTAACAATACTAAGAGTAAAGCGGAAAGGTTTGAGACGTTGGTACCAAAGACTTTGGTTGGTACTTCTGACTCCTGAGTACAGTTGCACCAGCACACAACAAGGGCAGGAGACTGGTGACAGATCACCATAGTACGGTTATTGTGTTCTATACGTTGGCCGAAGACGCTGCTGGCTTCGTATTCATTTGATTAGAGTACAGTGAGCTGTTGAAGAGGACTGTGTTCAGGTATTGTTGGGACTACTCCCATCTAACACAATTACGAGGCCAAGAGGTGTTGAGAGTGTAGGAGCTCAAGGACTTTGAAGATGGGATTAAAAGGCTCGGCATGTACCATAGTGGTCATGCTGGTGCTTACCGGTGAGTCACATCAAATTTAATATGGAAATTGTCCTTTCTTACTCTAAGACTATTGTGTGTATCCCAGAGTATTTATATCTAGTAATCTATTTCCACAGCATAGGACTACAGCAGATTGGTGAGGTCAATTTATGATAGGTTTCGATTTTCCATAAAAAATATGCTCATTTCTGGTGCTAACTGCCCTAGCCTAACCTAACCTAATTGAAACCTGGCTACTATCCTAAATTGACCGATTGGTGATGTTGACAATGTTATACCATTACTGTATGTTCGGTGAATTTGTAGTAAAGAACATTATCTTTCTCTTGCTGTTATTAATATGTATTTTGGGTAAAGGTGTAGACAATGGCTAACACTAGGAGTTTGTTGAATTTCTTGATTTTTGCTATACTTATTGTTTTGATGTTTTTAAGTATATTAAAAGAAACGACAACTTTCTCTTATGATTTTAACTTTATTTTTTTATTTTTTTAAGTACTGCTAGTGGGCAGGACATGAAGGATGAGGGAAATTACTGGGTAAAAACATAGGTGCATTTGTGACATAAAAAATAATTTTCATACCTTTCACCATGTTTCATAATGTTTAGACATTTCTAAGACATTTTTCTTCTATGCTATTTCTGCCGGAAATTAAAGATATCCAAGATATTAATTTTCCAATAATATTATATTTGGTAAGGCACAAGCCTAGCCATTTGTTGTTTACACCTGGCGGAGAAGGTCTGACCATCCCTCAGCCAGTGCTCCGTTACCTCCCTATTCACTTCTTAAGCGTCTACAGCACATGTGTGGGGGGTGGTGTGGGAGTTTCTTATTGGCTATAAGCGAGAGGAGACTTATTATTGGGAAAGAGTTTTTTTTGTCTTAGCCGACGAACAATGCGTGGGAGCGTCAGGAGGGAAAATTTGAATTTTTAATACCAGATATGGCTGAACAGGTTGAAGAGCTATGCCTTCATTGTGATAGAGATTAATTTACGTCAATTGCCAAGTCTCATCAAAAAAATAGTGGGGCCGTTTAATTCTTTAGAAAACACAGTGTATTACCAAACAACGTTACTTGTCCAGCGTGTAATAATCAGTGTACACTGCATGAAGAACAACACATTTGGCCTGACTCTACTTCAGATTAAGGTAAGTTGTGGGGGTTTGGTTTATTTGGTTGGTGAGGGTTTTACATTAGAAATATGTTTTTTTTCCTGTGGTTTTTGATAAGTTTTGAACGATTTTTGCCTTATTCTCCATTGGAAATCACCTGTTTCTGCGATTTACCCAACATAAAACTCCAATTTTCCAACATCTTCCCTTCAGATTGTTGGAGAGGGGGGATGTATCTACAAATGAGTAATTGCTGGCGGAAATTAATATAAAATTTGTTCGAAACTCATCAAAAACCATAGGAAAAACAATGTTAATATCCAAAGAAAGACTGGTGCTTTTCTATAAATTTACTGTATGTCCTAGGGATAAATGTCTTAAAAACAATTTTATCCCATTCTAGCTAAATCCAAACCAAATTCAAAGGTCTGAAGAAATTTAAGTAGAGTATAGCTATTTAAGAATACAGTATATAAGAACAAAGGAAACTGCAGCACAGTAGGTCTATTTACCTGAAATAATAATAATGGGCAGTGGATATATTGCCATGATCGTAAGTTCCTACTAATGCTATTTTACCGTGAGTGTGCTCTGGTTGGCTAATCATCCATTACCAGCAAACAATGCGAGAACTATATTTGAGTGTGACTGGCGGCATTTAGGGAAGCACCTCATTCTTGAAGATTGTTACGAGGTACAGACCATTTAGATGAACTGTAGGAAAAAAGGTAACAGAAAAAAAGGATCTGGAAAAAGGTAACTGCCAAAAAGTAACAGGAAATAAAATAACAGGAAGTAAAGTATCAGTAAATAGGTGAATTGCAAATTTTTGAATGGCAAGGGTCTACTGTATAGGCAGCAGGCATACCAACATGCAGTTTTTCAAATTGTAGACAGAAAATGTAACGATTCTTTTTTGGGGGGGACTGTACAGTACAGTACTACAAAATCTACAGGTCACTACCTATACACCTGTAAGGTTTAGTTGGTTTGTGATGTAATTTCATACCTCCCCTCACCAGTGGTTCTCTCTTTAGTTTTCACTTTGCTCTCCCTCCCACCATGTTATGTATACAGTCGTGGAGAAAAGCTCGCTCCCCGTGGTGAAACTGAGTTGGAGGAATGAATCTCCGACCTGGTGTGGGTGTAATTGCTTCAGTTTGGGAGGTAGCAAACTTTTCACTCCATTTGTACAGTATATTGAAAGAAACCTGTTGTAAACATCCAGTAAGAAAATATCAATATATCAGTCTAGATATTAACTAGTAATGTACCAATCAATGTTACATGTTATCCTTTTAAAATTTAATAGAAATTTGATAAAAGGTACAGTACATTACTATCATTTGTCTGACATTTTAAACAAACAATTGCAGCATAAATTTTTGTCAAACATGGTACAGTATCTAAAACTGTAAAAATGTGGCCGTCTTTAAAGTGAACATGTTTTATTTTTTTTTTTGTAATTTCATTTTTTATGTTGGTGACTTCTATATAATTTACACTGAATTTTTTATTTAAATTTTTCTCCTCAGGATTTATCATCTCTGCATTTGTTAATCTTGTAACATTTCTTCTTAGTTCCATTGTTTATATTTCCAATGGGCTTTTGTTTAATTTCTTGGTTGTACAGGTACTGTACAAGGATTTGAGCCCGTGGTATACATTATTTATGCATATTACAATTTTTAGGTTGCTGAAGCTTCTTATAAATTCTGAAAAGTTGGGCTTGTCCAATTTTGAATTTGATTCTAGTGTCAGGAGATTTCAGTAGTTCAGGCAAGTGCTGTTGATGTACTCGCATGCAAAATATGATGAGGTTCAACTTCAGATTTAACTCGCAGGAGAATAATTAAGGTTAACTTCAGATGGACGCTTAATGCCTATACAATACAATACTGAATAATGTTGGGTATTGATGAATGAGTTTATTTGCAATGTACTGTACTGTGTATGTAAATTTATTTCATAACACTCATGTTTAAAAAAAATGATAGGAATTGGAAGCCAAAAGTTGGATCTGGGAGACTCCTCAGTCCTGACCAAGTATAACATCAAGAATCCTGATGATGTGAAGCAGATTGCAGACTGGGGGGAACGGTGTAGGCTAAATGTTGGACAAGATGCTGTGGATGATATTAAGGTTTGTAATTACAGCCTGAATAAATGTACAGTACACGTACATTATTGGTATTCTCTGTTACAATAAACCAAAGGTTCATTTGACTGATGTAGAATTCAGCACTTTTTGTAGTCCTCAAAAATTTATTTTAAGTAAGAATGTTAAAAAATAGAATTGGATTATCTTGTTCAGTTCTTTTTATTTTCCAACATGCTTTTAGAAATGTTGTGTAGCTGATGTGTTGTTGATGAATGACATGTGATGCCTCCACTGGAGCACTTGCTGACGAGCCAATCTTGGCTTGGAGGCAGAGACATGTGTTTGGGGGGAGCCATTATTGAAACAAAGTTTTAAATCTCTGGAATAATGATTTCTCTGACAGCTTGTTATACAGTACTGTACTATATTTCAAAAGCACCAAAGCAAAGTTCTATGATAGGTTGCATCTTATACAGTAGTAAGCCCTTCATCTGTACAGTACAGTGGTTCCTTGGTTAACGAGCACAATTCGTTCCAGAAGGTTGCTCTTTAAACGAAACCATTGTTTCAATGGGTTTTTGGGTAATTGGTTCCAGCTCACCGAAAATTACATACAAATGAAAAATAAATGCATTAAAGTACACTTACTATGAGGTGTGCATGTAGAAGGCTCCTTGTTGATGATGATGATGATGGGAATCAGAATGGGGGTGGAGGAGAAGGGAGAAGAGAAGGCATTGGGGTGGAAGAGAAGTCACCCCATGCTGCCATTTCACCCATAAAATTTTAGTTCACTTGGTGTAATTCAAGATTATTTTCTTTAAATCAACACTCCGCTATATATTATCAATATGTAAAACATATTTCAAAATGACCAATAATTTGACTGGAAACACAGAAAAAAGCATTTATGTTGAAGAGTCTCAAACAAGATGTTCCTTCCTCTGAACCTGTAAACAAACTGACGCTAAGCTTGGTGTGCTGAGTGGCTGTTTAGTGCGCATAAAACTAGTTTCCTGTACTTCAATTATGTTCAATAATTGTTAAAATGACTAAAAAAATTAATATAAAACTTTTAAAATGATTGAATAGTACAACCTTCTTGATATTTACTAAAATGGTAAGGAATTTAAACCCTAGAACCGATTACTGTATTGGCGGACTAATACGACAGCTAGTGAGCAAGCGAAAACATGTTGAGGGGCGCTCGTAAGGAATTCGTTAATTGAGGGATTGCTTGTTAACCGAGGTGAAGAATCTTATGGAAGGTAATTCGTTAACCGAGGCACTCGTTAACCGAGGGATCACTGTATATGAAGTAACCTGTTGTATCAAAGCTGTGTGTTGTATAAGCACCATCTAAATACTTCGGAAGAACCTATTAGCTAGTAAATTTGATTTTTATAATGGTAAGATATCTTGAGGTTTTTATAGGGAATATTTACTGATACAGTAACTTAGTAAGTCTGTCTAGACCTCCTTAGATTTTAGGGCTTTTGTCAGCTGACTACTAATCTCCTAACTTTTCCTGCACCAATACAGGAGTCTTTTAGTAATTTGACCTTGTGCATTGGCCAACACATCAATATGAACAAGCTGAGACATGAAATAAACAGCAGTATACCCCGGGGAGAATTGGACCTGGTTTTCAAGAAGTATTGTGGGTGAGTGAGAGTAAGATGAGTTTTTATGGTAAGAACACAGATTGAAGTCATAGGAATTAAATGTTTTATGGGGCTCTTGATGCAACCACTGTTGCTAGCTGGCATGCTTCATGGTTGGCTTTATTTTAGTCAACCTCATGGTAGTTATGCATGATGTAAGAAGCATCATGTGTGGTTGGTTATCTCAAATCATTGCAAAGTCCATTGGAAGGGTTTCCTAAACTATAGTAATCATTCAGGGTTCTCGAATTAAAAAGTGACCTTGTACAGTACTTTACTGTACTAAGTACATGTACATTACAGGAATACTTCGTACAGTTCAAGAATTCCTTGCTATTTGTAACCCAATAATCGCAACCTTACTTATCCACAGTTGACATTTAACACCCCTATTTGATATTCACAAGTGAAAAATTACGATACCTGTAGCTTTCATATTCCAACGTAAGGCCAGCTTCACCCCTACTGAGCCGACCTTTGAGTTAGGTCGTCGTTATTTTTCATCTAATAATTTTGATTAGATGTACATATTTTTATTCAATTTCATTTACTCTTTTACATGCACACACAATTATTCATACAGAATATGTACAAAAAGATTATTATCATAAGGTCAAAAATAAATATGAACATACACAATATGTTCATGTAATTTGTGTGCAATCTTGTGGGGGGGGCCGGGGGTGCGAGGGGGGTGGTTGCAGGTGGTGTGAGGTAAATAAAAATAATACAGTACTGTAATTGGTTTATTGAAAAGGTTCAGCAGCCAGAAGGCTAAAAATATGTGTATAAAGTTAACAGAAATGACTTATTGCATTCATTGACATGTCACACCACAGGCACACACCTACCTGGTATATTTTTTCTATGATTTAATATTTTATATTGTTTCTGTTGAAACATACACCATAATAGGCTGATCATACGAGAATACTGTATTATAATAAATAAATAACAAAAACTTGTGATCGTGGCAATGGCCATCCCCTGCCCTATTTACATTAATTCTTATGATAAAAATTACCCGATATTCAGTTTCATTAATCACAATGTCTTAGGAACACATCCCTTGTGATAACTGGGGCATTCCTCTATTGGCTTTGCTCCGCTGCTCACGTTTTATTGTAGAGTTGTACAATATGACTCTAACCTTAATTTGAAAAATCTGTTTCAGGCGTCGTGACCCTCTCATGGGTTGTGTTGAAGATGCATCTGCCAAAATTGAGCGATGTGCAAGTGAACCGGAACAGCGTGACCTGAGCATCATCATGAAGGCTATACATGCTGGCATTGACTTTGTGTGTCATAATGATGGTGATAGGATTGCTTGTAAGTATATCATGTACTGTACAGTAGTTATAATATAGGTGGCCATACCAGACTTAAGCAGTGTCATAGTTGTAAAAATAAAGAAAATGTGTGTGTGTGTGGGTGTGAGAAAGACTCAATCTAAGCTAATTTTTATGTTGTCCAGTGTTCATGGCTGAAATGGGAGAAGATTGTATCAAGAATCAGATGGATAACATCACAGAGTGTATCAAGGAGGAAGTGCCAGAGATTAAAGATGCTGCAAAGAATCATATGAAATCATACGAAAATTTTGCCCTAGATGAAGAAAACTGCAAGTAAGTGGGTTTTGTTTTCCTTTTAACATTTCCCACATGCTGAATTTGTTAATGCAGATTTACGCAGTAAAATCACAAATCTACATAGCACTGCTTTCCTAGAAATGCTGGTGTTATGGAATAAAGGTAAAATTTGAATTTAGCACCCAGCAGTTTTAAAATTGGCTGCTATGCATGAAATTCAATATGCCTGTCATTTACTATTGCAAGGTAAGTATAAGGATGTTTTAACAGTAAACATAATTGTGACTTGGTAATCTTCAATACTTTGTTTTGGCAAAGCTTTGTTTGATCCTTCGCATAGTGCTATTGATTAAACATTCAGTAAATTTCAGCAATGACATTCTCACACACCCACTAACATGCTGATTCTCGCCACATACAGTTGTTGCTGGCTGGGCTGTTTATATACAGTGGTCCCTAAGTTAACGAACGGTTAGGTTAACGAAATTTTGGTGAACAAATTACCTTCCATAAGAATCTTCAATTCGGTTAACGAACAAAAATTTGATTAACAAAATCCTTAGGAAAATCATGTTTTGTTGTGAGCATCAGCTGATGGGCTAGTCTGCCAATTCAGTAATCTATTCTATGTTTACATTCATTTCCAATGGAGTAAATATCAATAAAGTTGTGTTCTTTAATATTTTTGCATGTTTTATATTAAAATTATTAGTCATTTTAACATTTATTTAACATATTGATATTATATGCAGTACAGGGAACTACTGTATTTTTCGGCTTCAAAGACGCACTTTTTATGACAAAAATATGCCTCGAAAATTACTATGCGTCTTCCAGGAGGTTGTCGATAAGCTGTAGCAGAGGTTTTTGAAATCAGCCCCTTACAAAGACTGTTTCCTCATTACAGTACTTAACAGTTACAAGTATTCTCTATACCAGGGGGGGGAATTTCCCCCCTCAGGTTTTCAGGGGGGGGAAACTGATACTAATATGGAAAAAATAAAGGATTTTCAGTATTATATGCATATTATTTGGAATGCACTTTTTGAGGCAGACAATCTTGGAAAGGAGGGGGGAATGACATTCTGACATATGGTGAAAGGGTGAATGTTTGTTTCTTTATATGTAGGCTCTCATATTTGGACACCTATTTACAGTAGGCTCCCATATTTGGACACCTATTTAGACTGTAAAACCCCACAAAATTAAAATCTTCCAAATTTAAATATACAACTTCGTCATCCAAGTAAAAACACGCACACAACAACAACATTGGCTGTCCATATGTTTTCAGCTTTACCACCACTGGTGGGTAGAATTTTTTTTTTTATTCAGAAACATTAATTAACATATACAGTATATGAACAGTAAATAAGTGTTGCTTTCATATTCTTATGTAGAGTAATGACGATATGTTTACACTTGTGCTCACTTACATATGCCATCTCACTTTTTTCTTAACCATTAATAGTTAGCTACTTATATTGTTTCATTTATTAACATTAAATAACATGACTTAAAACAACCATATTAATTTTTTTACATTAATTTTATTACTGCTACAACCAGGGTCTTATTTTCTTCAGTTTTATATGTAGAACCAATCAGTCACTTGTTTTGTAAACAAAGAAAACAATGCTGTCTCGTCTCCTCGTGTGTTTTAATATTCTATGTATTATTAATGAATTGTATTGTTCATTTTGCACGCATAATCATTAATTAAATAAAAAATAAATTAAGTAATAAACAACAATGAATCTGTTGTACATAAGAGAAATGACGCTGTTTTGTTAATGTTTACAAAACCAGTGACGAGGAAGAATGTAAACACTACAGCTTGCTAGACGTGGAGGTGACCAGATGTATAAAATGAGTGCTGTATTAAAGATTTCACCTTCTTACCCTATATCTCGTATATCTTGGCCTATAAGACGGAATTTGAACCATAAAAAAATCAGCCCAAAGTTAGGGGGTCGTCTTAAGCACCAGATATATCATTCTTACCTCTTAAATATTGCAGTTTAGCGTGTCAAGAGTGGTGATGGAAACATGGTAAACCACTCACAAGGTCCTACCACTAATTATTTTATACTGAAACTTACGTTTGGGAAGCTGGATTAAAATGAAGATTACCGGTATATTAAAATAATAAAAATGTATTATAAACCAGTCTAACATACCGTAATAAACACAGCTGCTATTATCATCCCCCCCTCCCCCATTTGCCAGTGACAAGAAAGGGAAAGTGACCTTGACTGTGACCGCCTGTGGCTATTTTTAGCCGTCCTTGTGTTCGGAGGTGGTCAGTAATGCATATCTGTATATTTACTGGTCATAATACTTATCTCCTATAAATAATTCATTTAAATTTTTTTTTTTTACAAAGAATATTCAGTAAATGACTGCGTTAATTCTTGAAACTACCGACAGTGGTAAATTTAGGATATAAATGATGAACAGAAGTCACGTCATGGATTCGGAGTTTGGTCCTTAATGATCACCATAAATGTCTGGTCAACTTCACCTACCAGGTATAATGGTAGCCTCTCTTTTTCACAAAACAAGTATGTAATTAAAGAAAATACTTGCAGTGTGTTTAATATATTACAGTATATTATAAATAAATAAATAAACAAATAAATCGGCAAATCTATTTCAAGTAAATGGAAATATTTTACTCACCGACATTAGTTCCAGTTAAATAACTGACTCTTAAGTGAGCCACTCGTGTACACCAGCCGGTAAAATCTGATGCCAATACTTTAAGTGAATTGGCCTTATTTTAAATAACCAACCATAAATACATGCAAAAAGGAAAAAAGATCAAACGTGAGAAACATTATATTGTTTGTATGTTGTGTTGCCAAAGGAAGAGAAACAATTGAAACTCTGCAATTGCGTGTAAATGAGGCAGAAAGATAGATCAGCAACCTAAGACTTGGTCACAATTTTCGTGATGCCATATGGAAGTAGGGTCTACCATTAGACAATACTGTACATTATGCTTCCAATATCTTCCCAGGCGGTAGTATCTCCCTGTTTGGTAGCTGCCTAAAATTTTTAGTAATATTACGTACATTGATACAACATGATAAATTAGACAAACAATGAAAATAAACAAACAAAAGTTATTTACCAAGACCTTCTCTCTGAGAACAGAGGGATGGAGGGGAGATAAGACGGCTATTTATAGTCTGTCTTTGTGTAGGAAGTCGACCACACTATAAATAATTCATTTAAAATTTATATTTTTTATATAGAATATTCAGTACATGACTGTGATTATAAAATATTGTGTGTGTGTATATATATATATATATATATATATATATATATATATATATATATATATATATATATATATATATATATATATATATATATATATATATATATATATATATATACATTGTTACCCCACTTAACGCGGTCAATTGAACCCAGAGGGTCCCGCGTTAAGTGAAATCCGCGTTAAGTGAACAACAGAACATATGGGATTAATTCCAATAGAAACCGGCCCGACCCCCAAACTCCACTTTTTGAAGGCACATACCTATGTTGTAGTAAAAATAACATCTTAATTTTATGATGGTACATGCACACAATTAATACTTAAGAGAAATAGAGAAATACAGTCGCCAAGTTAATGTCCATTCAAATAATGGACTCAACTCCCTCCCCCTCTCACACTACACTGCCGGCTCTTCCCTCTCAGAGAAATTTTTGGGGGAAAACCACTAAATTTTAATAAATAATACCTCAAACTGAAGTTAGGATAATACAATTGACATTGCTGGATTCCTTGTAAGACCAGGAATATTTTGAATATAAATGTCATATGTTTTGCACAAAAGATAATATAGTTACCTAGAGAAAAATTTTTATCTAAAATTTGTATGTTTAATGCAAAATATATGATGTTTATATTCAAAATGATCACCAAATTATAAGAATTCCAGCAATGTAAATTATATTCTGACCGGATAATTTGTATGAATTTTATGAGCTAAAACAAATACCTTCAGTTAATAAAAAAAAAAATAATCTTCACGACACTATCTGTCAATCAAAGTACCCCACCTTGCCTCCCCCCCTCTTCCAACCGCGCGGTCAGTCCCAACCCTCCCCCCCATTTGTCAGTGACAAGAAAGGAAAGTGACCTTGACTGTGACCGCCTGTAGCTATTTTAGCCGTCCTTGTGTTCGGTGGTCAGTAATGCATATCGGTATATTTACTGATAATAATACTTATCTCCTATAAATAATTAATTTAAAATTTATTTTTTTACAAAGAATATTCAGTAAATGACTGCGTTAATTCTTGAAACTACCGACAGTGGTAAATTTAGGATATAAATGATGAACAGAAGTCATGTCATGGATTCGGAGTTTGGTCCTTAATGATCACCATAAATGTCTGGTCAACTTCACCTACCAGGTATAATGGTAGCCTCCCTTTTTCACAAAACAAGTATATAATTAAAGAAAATACTTGCAGTGTGTTTAATATATTACAGTATATTATAAATAAATAAATCAACAAATAAATCGGCAAATCTATTTCAAGTAAATGGAAATATTTTTCTCACACCGACATTAGTTCCAGTTAAATAATTGACGCTTAAGCGAGTCACTAGTGTACACCAGCCGGTAAAATTTGATGCCAATACTTTAAGTGAATTGTCCTTATTTTAAATAACCAACCATAAATAAATGCAAAAAGGAAAACAGATCAAAGGTGAGAAACATTATATTGTATGTATGTTGTGTTGTCAAAGGAAGAGAAACAATTGGAACTCTGCAATTGTGAGTAAATGAGGCAGAAAGATAGATCAGCAACCTAAGACTTGGTCACAATTTTCGTGATGCCATATGGAAGTAGGGTCTACCATTAGACAATACTGTACATTATGCTTCCAATATCTTCCCAGGCGGTAGTATCTCCCTGTTTGGTAGCTGCTTAAAATTTTTATTAATATTACTTTGATACTACATGATAAATTAGACAAACAATGAAAATAAACAAACAAAAGTTAT